TGAGTTTGTACCTTGTGAGAGTCAACGTATGGTATTAGACAAATGGCAGGACTGTGCCACCTACCAGGGTTGACCTTGGTCAAATCCTTTAGTGTTTTGACTCTCTTTACTCTTCTCTGATGGGAATAATAAATACTGCATCACATTACTGTGCTGTTAATTCTTCAATAACTAAATAAGGTGATTCATGTGAAAACATTTTATTAAATTATAAAATGCTGTTCATATATAAAGTATAGGCTGAGTATCCCTTATCCGAAATGCTTGGGATCAGTAATGTTTCAGATTTCTGATGTTTGGGATTTTAAAATATATTCAATATATTCCTGTTTCAACTCTACCTAAACAAAGCTTAGCTACCTAAACTTATTAGCCATAGAGCCATGATATTTGTTCCTCAGTTTCCTCATTTGAAAAGTTGGGATAATGAGAATGCCTGCACTTAAATGTCTACTTAAGGTTGGGTGCAGTGGCCTTTGGAGAACCGAAATGCTCCAAAATCTGAAAACATGATGCTCAAAGGAAATACTCACTGGAACATTTTTTTTTTTTTTTTTTTTTTGAGATGGAGTCTCACTCTGTCACCTGGGTTGGAGTGCAGTGGTGCGATATTGGTTCTCTGCAACCTCTGCCTTTTGGGTTCAAGTGAGTTCAAGTGATTCTCCTGCCTCAGCCCCCCGAGTTGCTGGGATTACAGACATGGGTCACCACGCCCAGCTAATTTTTGTATTTTTAGTAGAGATGGGGTTTCACCATGTTGGCTAGGCTGGTCTCGAACTCCCAAACTCCTGTGATCCACCCACCTTGGCCTCCCAAAGTGCTGGCATTATAGGCGTGAGCCACCATGCCCAGCCTGGAACATTTTTTATTTCAGATTTTTAGATCTGAGATGCTCAACCTGTATTATTGTGAGCTTTTGATTATGCAACTTATAGGTAACTGGTTGTGATTTTTTTAATTACTTTCTTAGTTTGCCTTTCTGCCATATCCCAACTGCCCCGCTGGGATGTGATAAGGGTACCCAAGTGTATTTTAATAGTCTAAACCAAATGTAATAAGGACAATTGTTCTGTTAACAATACTATTACATTGCAATGAAAAAAAAATGTTTATAATATTTAATATTTTATTACCATGTCATGTCCCCTATAAGTGTCTTTTTCCTTATAGATTGCAGAAATATAGGGGCATTATTGGATTGTAACATTCTACATTGTAAATAGAAAATGTGTTCTATGATTTTTGTAGTTTAAAAGAAAAGATAATTTAAACATTAGAATTGAATACAAGTTCATAATTCTTAGTTATGGCATTAACATTTTTTGGCATGCAACAAATTTATTTCTCTCTATTTTGTGATGTAATTTTAAAAAGCTTGGCAATACATACATATGCTCTCTGATCCATGCCTTTTCTAATTAAACAATGCAATTCAAAGGTATTGCATATGATTCAGAAATGGCTGAACAGATATCTTATTTTTCAAAACAGTAGCATAACTATATATTGTATCTATTTTATGAACTCTTGGAAAATATAGAGGAAAATTTACTAGTCATTTTTACCTGTTTCTTTCTTTGATACAGAATAAAATTTTCCTTAATTGAATTTGTCATTTACTCTAACCACAGGATATAGCTTATGACATTAAGTTTGACAAAGGATAACGATGAAATCACTTTAAGGAAATATATAAACAGATTTATAGAGGCTGAATGCACAGTAAAAATAGTTTGGAAATTAAAAGTGTAGAGAGAAAAGGAGACAAACTAGTTTCAAAAACTTTTGGAAATGAACAATGACAGCTATGCCAGAATTCAGGATATTGGACTAGACTAAAAAACAAGAGATCCTGAAAAAGGCCCTCACACAGTTGTCATCATGCAATTCATTTATTTATTATCTTATTACAGAGAGGAGGGAAGAGAGTATTTTAGGCCTGTGTTTTTAGATCATTGCAGGCAGTTTCATAGCAACAAATGTTTTTTGCCAGTATAACCCACAATACCACCCATATACTTTTTCTTCTTTTGCTCTCCAGTTTTACATTTAATGGGTTAGAGATATAAATTGCTTATAAATTTTACTTTCCTCTCCACCTATTAAAATATACAGACATTATGCAGATAATGCATTGCAATATGATTTTATATAGTGAATGCAGATTCTATTTCACCACTTTTTCTTTCTACAACATGCTTTAAATATCAAGAAGCAAAATTATTCAATGTTATTTGGATTATGTGTTTAATTCAAGAGCTATTCACTGAGTATTATGTGGTTATGCAGGATGTAGTAGTGTGCTTGTTTCTTGTATTCATGTAATTTGATTATTTATTCAGTGTAGGGAAGCTTCTAGAATCAGAATTAAATGATAGGTAATGACTGGCCAATCCTTAGTGTTACTAAGCTTTTCAATGACAAATTATGTTGTCTTGCCAGTTTTTGTTATGGGAATATGATTTGTATGCACTTGTTTCAACTTAAATTATAGGACTATTTTACTTCAGTCTTGAAAATATCAAATAAATCATAAATGAGCTACAGCCAGTCATGACATGGGCAAGATCATAATAATTTTCTCCAAAGCACAACAGCCTAATAAATCTTCATTTTGAGTAACCAGCAATCAACAGAGGCAAGCTTTACTTATTGTAAAGCTTATGCCAGTGTCTCCGATATTAAACAGGACCAGAGAATCAAAACCAAAATTGTACTAAATGGCAGTTGAGTTAATAGAGGTTAAAACTCTTCAAAAAATAAAAATTTCCATTAAAGTGTAAGATAATATTTGAAGAATATAACAGATACCATTGCCAATACTTTTTTGTCACACAGCCTTCCTTCCTCATTAAATATTTGTTGAAGAGATAAATAAAACTCACAAAGAAGTTAGAATAGTTCCACTCAAAAATAAGATTGTGTATGAGTTTTATGTGAAAGAAGACTAAATTTCCATGAGCATGCATTTCTGTGTTTTAGTATGTAAAACTCTCTCTGTGTGTGTATTTATCAGAAATATATCTCTATCTAAGGCTATTTCAAGGAACAAAATTAGTTCTGAAAACTTCTTTGTAGGCTAGTAGTTGAAAAATATCAACTCTAGTATGACTTTCTATCCCCAACCTCAGCCTTCATTATAATGGGCCTCAAATCTACACGTTGGAGACTATCAATTATGCAGTTTGTTAAGGTGCTTAGTTATGCTGCTTCTAGTTGTCAGTCTGAACACAGGTTTGTTATTATTCTGGTATAAGCATGAAGTGCATCTCAGATAAGGCTTGAGATGCCTGTATTAGCCTATTTGAGACACATGGTCCAGTAAACCCTGGAGTTACTCAATAAAGATTAATTGAGGATGATGATAAATTATGACAATATAATAGAGTTTTTAAAAGCATCCAAGAAATATCATTAAAAATAATATTTGTAGAGAGGGAGGGAGGGGGGCAAGGGTTGAAAAATTTACTATGAGGTACTATGCTCACTACCTGGGTGATGGGATCAATCGTACCCCAAACCTCAGCATCACATTATATATCCATGTAACAAACCTGTACATGTACCCCTGATTCTAAAATAAAAGTTGAAATTATTTAAAACAGAAGAATATTTATTAGTGAGATGAAGAATCTAAAATTTGATAACCTTATTTGCAACTTTCTAAGCAGAACTTTTGATATATGCCAGTTTTTCCTTGGTGAGATTGAGGAATATCACTGCTCAGTATCACTTTGCAACATGATATTGAGGCTTCAAAAAAGTCATTGGAGAGAAACGAGTGTGGATTTGACAATAACTGGAAACATGCAAGCTTAGATCAAAGTATAAAGATATCACCCAAATGCAATTATCCCAAACAGTATTTCTCACTTGTTTTTGAAATCTTACTAGAGTTTTACATTTATTTATTGTGCATAATATCTGAGTTCATCTCTTCCACTGAAATTGCTTTAGTTTTATATCACTTGAAATCTGTGATTTTTTGAAGTTTGTGTTGCGAATTATTCTTCCCTGACATTCTCCTCTTTTTTCTTATTGGTCCCTCTTTTCATGTTAGAATATAGCACATTGTCTTTGGTGAAACAAAATGTTTATAAGATAAAGAGATGCTGCTTGCTGAGTTTGTGAATATGTTAACAATTTTCCAAATTTTTTACTGACTTATATTGGTCAATACCTTAAAAATAATTATGGAATTTAATTTGAAATGTATAAACATAATATGTTTGAGGATCTCTATTTTTGTAAGTGTATGTTGACTCTGTTAAGAGTTTCAGAAATGACCAGAGCCAGTGGCTCATTATTTTTCTAAACCTTCTGATAACATATTTTTCTGAAACACAATATTTTTTCCACAGTAATATCAAATATTACTGAGTGGCAGGGAAAAAAGTTTCTTCAATAAGGATTCCAAATCAATTTATTTAGGGTAAGAGCATTCCACATTAATGTGTAGTCGCATGATGTGCATTTCTCATAAGACTGACAAGCTACGGGAAATCTTAGGCCTTAGGAAATGAGTTGCCGAGTAGTTCTTCTGAACAAATTCTTTGAAATGCATAGAAAACATAACTATTATGTGAAATAGTGGTATAGACTATAATATTTATAAGTGAGACTAGTCAAACTATTTGAAAGCTTTCTTTGTGTAACTATTGACCTGCCTTTCAAATGGAAATATTTGTGTTCTTATTATGAATATTGCATTTCCTATGTCTGTAATTTGGAATGGTGTGTTTATTTAATCATAGTTTGATTAATTTTTACCCTTTTTCTCAAAGTTTATAATATATTTTAAAGAATATAATATTATTTTTAAATAACTGTATTAGAGAGATGAGTTTATTAAAACATATAATGTTCAATAAAGCAAGTATGAGTGAAATAAATTATTTACTTTCAGTTTGGAAGAGGTGAATAAAAAGTGCTTGGCCAATACCGTACCATTAATCTATTCTCTTTTCTCCTTTCTCTCTTTACTTCTCTCTCTCCAATAGAAGTGGAACAAAAAGGTAATTAAATACCTTTCATAAATTATATACTATTTATAGGCTAAGTTATTTAACAGTTTAACATTTAGTTAAAATAATTTTGTTATTAATTCTTATCTATTTTATGAAAATTTATCTACTACTTCTGCTGCTCAACTTCACTTTAATCTGTATTACTGACAAGTGTCAGCTTCTTTTATCTAAGAAGAGTTTAGTAGTATAAAAGTTTCCACAGTGTATTTTATTCCCCTTTATTTTTGAGTAGTTAGAAATCCAACTCATGGTGATGAATAGTAGTTGCTTTAATTTGTTTTTATTTCTATACTAGACAATTTTTCATAGCTCTGGCATGGTTTCCCTATTCCATTAATTTTTAACTATTGGGGGAAAAGGGAAATAGTTTTCCGAACCACCTAAAGTAAATTACTTTAGTCATCAAGGATGATTATTAATTTTAGCATAAAGCTTATATACAGTTTTGATAACAATGGATACCTATCCTTTATAATTATAGCAAGCATATGAAATTCTTATAATCAATATTATTATGGATTGTATATTGATGATGGCCCTCTGTCCTTGCTATGGAAGATTTTGGTAGTTAGCCTGTTCCCAAACTTCTTATTTCTCTAAAAGTAAAACTTTAGGCATTTTAGTAATGTACTTTTCTTTTCGATAATCTCCAAAATCTACCCGAGTTTCATCTTAGATTGTTTTCCATTGCATCTATGCTTATAGTTGCTGTTTAAAAGCTAATCACTAATGCCAAAATAATACTACTTTAATCATTTAAAAAAGGGTCAAAGTCCAAATTACAGTGATTTTCTAATTTTTTCACCCAGTACACTTCTAATCATTCCAAACATAACAGTAGACTGCATGATTATTTTTCAGTGTATTTGCTTTGCAAATATATTAGAGCAGTGTTTCCCATAGTAGGTTCAGTGGAACTCTGTACTCCAAAGAAGCTCTATAATAAAGGTGCCATGATCCAATTAGTGTGTGAAATTTGCTCACCCTTCCCACTTCCGCCTTGGAGATTCACGAATGTACCTATGCTATTAGAATCTCTGCTACAGTTATATTTAATATAACATTTCTTAAACACATGTGGGTAAGGATCCCTTTTTTCTTTCTGTGTAACATCTAGCTATGCCACTTAAAACACGTGATTCAAGGACCAACCTTTGGGAAACATTGCTTTATAGCCCCTTCACTGCAGATGAATCAGCCAGGCTTTCTTACCACCATTCACATGATATGCTACTGAATCATACAAAAATCAAGTGAATCAGATGATTCCTAGCCATTTTCATTCTGAAGTATGAGCAGCAAAATATTATAGCAAGTAATCTTGGGTTTTAATGCTCTTTTCATGTAACAGTAAAAGGTACATGTTTTTAAGTTCCAATACTACTGTATTTAACAGGACATTTTTAACTGATTAAAATCTAGATCTTGGGTTCTTTTCTGTAACCTTTCACCTTTTCTTCTTTCCTTATTCCTTCTTTCCTTTCTTTTTCTTCCTTTCTCTTTTCCTTCCAGTATCCATCCATCACTCATTTTTAATTGTGTGGGTTGCATGCTCTGTGTGTGTTGTAGCAACTTTGAGAGCTTTTTTGCTAAAAGATTCAGTGGCCTGTATTACAGGGCTTTTCTTTTCCTTTATTAAAAAATTACTATGGGATATTCATCTGTTTCTTAATGATAACTACTGAATGGCTAATTTCATCAGAATGGAAACAATAATTTTTGTTTTGAAATATGTTCTTCAGTGAACTATTAAAAGTATTGTGTATAAACATTTGTGTTTCTTATATGTCTATAGAATACGTAGACATATGTCACATCTAATATATATTTCCAAAAATATTGTAGCGTGTTTACAAAGGTAACAATCACAGGAAGGCACAGCTACTCACAAAAAGGCTAGATATTTTTCAGTTATCGAAATCAAAATGATTTTGAAATGAAGCCAAAATTAATGTGGAAGAATACTTTGTGTTCTTAAAAGAATGCAGCAAAATAAGTGATGATGGGTATCTCCTGTTAGAGTTGCATTCCATTTGGTGAAAAATAAGACTAAATAACAAAATATGAAATTAATGTATTTATTTATTTTAACTGTTTCCCTTCCAACAGTTTTTCTTTGTCCTGGACTACTAAAAGGAGTATACCAGAGTGAACATTTGTTTGAGTCTGACCACCAATCTGGGGCGTGGTGTAAAGACCCTCTGCAGGCATCTGACAAGATTTATTATATGCCCTGGACTCCCTACAGAACTGATACCCTGACTGAGTATTCATCCAAGGATGACTTCATTGCTGGAAGACCAACTACAACCTACAAGCTCCCTCATAGGGTGGATGGCACAGGATTTGTAGTGTATGATGGAGCTTTGTTCTTCAACAAAGAGCGCACCAGGAACATAGTAAAGTTTGATTTGCGGACTAGAATAAAGAGTGGAGAGGCTATCATAGCAAATGCCAATTACCATGATACCTCCCCTTACCGATGGGGAGGCAAATCTGACATAGACCTGGCAGTAGATGAGAATGGGCTGTGGGTAATCTATGCAACAGAACAAAACAACGGTAAAATTGTCATTAGTCAGTTGAACCCTTACACCCTACGGATCGAAGGAACATGGGATACTGCATATGATAAAAGGTCAGCTTCCAATGCCTTTATGATTTGTGGAATTCTGTATGTGGTCAAATCTGTATATGAGGATGATGACAATGAGGCCACTGGAAATAAGATTGACTACATTTACAACACTGACCAAAGCAAGGATAATTTGGTGGATGTACCCTTTCCCAATTCATACCAGTACATTGCAGCTGTGGATTACAACCCCAGGGACAACCTGCTTTATGTATGGAATAACTATCATGTCGTGAAATATTCTTTGGATTTTGGACCGCTGGATAGTAGATCAGGTAAGTTCAACCTTTTATGGTACTCTTTGGGGAAATATTTACAGTTTGTTCTCAGCAAGTTCATTTTATGTTGGTTTTTTGTTTGTTTGTTTGTTTTTGTTTTTGTTTTTTTTAACTTTCTTTGTGGTCTTCTGGCCTGCGTACCTGAAAATTATTCTTTGTCTTTGCATCTAAAGAAGGTTGCTGCTGATCACTTTCAGCTGTAAAAATTTGTAACTACGAAAAGTAGACTCTCCTTTGTTCTGCTCAACTCCAGTCTTTAGCTCTTCTTCTTTGAAGGGTGTTTGTTATTTTCAGCAGGTTAGTTCTTTGTGTAGTGAACTGCACAAAACCATTGCTGAAATAGAATGCCAGCCTGTCTAATTAATTGTGAAATGCCCACTGAAGTGCTGTCTACTTGGAACATGTCAAAGGGTTAACTTGATATTATGTTTCAGGAGCCTGCACCAATGTATTCACCTCACAGAGAGCATCATATATGACCTCCCCTTTTGGGAAAGTTGTCAGTTTGAGTGTGCCTGTGTCTGAATGAACTTAATTGGTATATTGAGAAAAATGTTCATAACTGATAAGTACAGGAAAAAATACCTTGATTTTTATAAGACATTGGAATTTTTTATACTTTTAATTGCAATTCTTTACAAGCGCCCTTTTTCCATTAAAAACATACCATTTCCTTTTAATGTTGTTTAAAGACAATCATAAATAGCTTTAATTTTTTTCATTTTTATGTACTCAACACAATTATCTTAATTTAAAGGTTAAAATTTTTAGCTAGCATATTAGTCCATTCTCACACTGCTATGAAGACATAAACAAGACTGGATAATTTATAAAAGAAAGAGGTTTACTTGATTCACAGTTCTGCATGTCTGAGGAAGCCTCAGGAAACTTACAATCATAGCAGAAGGTGAGAGAGAAGCAAAGGCGTGTCTTACATGGCAGCAGGCAAAAGAGAAAGAACAAGCGAAAGGGGAAGACTCTGTTAAAAAGCGCTCAGATTTCATGAGAACTTACTCACTATCACAAGAACAGCACAGGGAAAACTGCCCCCATGATTCAATCACCTCCCACCAGGTCCTGCCCTCCACATGTGGGGATACGGGGATTACAATTCAAGATGAGATTTGGGTACGGATCCAGAGCCAAACCATATCAACTAGTCATAATAGTCTTCCCCAAGATAAAGTATAATGGAAAACTAAGATAGGGGTGTCTGAATTTTGACAGTAATATAGCAATTCAAAAATTAAATTATTTTTGCCATTCAGCTTTAAAAAAGTGTAACTACAAGGAATTGACTTTCCTTTGTTTTGCTCAACTCCAATTTTTAGCACTCCTTCTTTGAAGGGCATTTGTCATTTTCATCAGGTTAGTTCTTTATATAGTGACGTGCACAAAACCTTTGCTAAAATAAAATGTAATCCTGTTAATATTTCATATTTTCTGCATTATGTGTTGAACTACTCTTTTATTAGCACGACATTCCTCTTAGTCCAGTATATGCATATCTTTTTACTGAACTAGATTCTAAGTTTTTTATGGTCAATGGCTTTGCCTTACCCTTTCTTTTATTGTATTTTTCTCTTACCATTATTTCTGTCTTCTCTGACTCTAGTATAATACATTGCATATATATAATAAGGCTCAATCACTCTTGTGGAATGAATGAATGAATGCATGCATGAATGAATGAATGAATGAATGAATGGCTTTTCACTTCTTATTCAGATAGGATGACAAATTATTTTTTAGTATTTTCTCTAATCATGGAGAGGCTTCAGTCAGAGTGACAGCACTTGTTTCCACAATCAGCAATGCTGATATTATGTTGAATTGGCTTTTACGGAAAGAAAAGACTAAATATGCAATAGCAACAAAAGCAATTTCACCTAAGTCCTCAACAACATCTCCTAGACCAACCCTATTATCTGACTCACCGCTGTACAGGTAAGGTTTTTTGTTTGTTTTTTAAACCACTGCATTCTACAGTTTAAAACCCGATCAATAATCCATTATCTAGAGTATCTGGGAAGACACTCCTTTCATAGTCATGATATTCTTAAACTAAAATTTATATTTGGTAGTGAAAACTTTGTTATGGATGGTTCTTAGCCTTTTTTGACTCTTAACTAGAACAGGAAGTGATTTCTAATATCTCAAAGGAATAATAAATAACCCTTTTTTTAGTTAATCAGTGAATAAGAGGCAATAACATAATTCAAATTTTATTTATTTAAAAGATCATACCTTATTTTTATTTAGAGTAACAGATAGGTTATAATTAATTACCATTTCAGGTTCTGATATAATAAACTAAAGCAAGTTCTTAACTCGGTTTTATTAAGTTATCCTTAAAGAATAAGATGGTACCATAATCCCATGTGTTTAAAAACTTGCCAAAAATATTTTTAGCATACACACAATTTTAGCATATAATAAACATATGAATATATATACTCATGCACTTATATGACTATGCTTTTTGTGTGTACTATATATATATGTATACATGTATAGTCACATGTGTATTAGTATACATATTCATATGGTGGTTATGTGTTTATATATTAATATATTCATGTATCCCCCTCCATATGTATATACATATCCCCATCTATATATATGTACATATCCCCCTCCATATATGTGTACATATATATGGAGGGGGTAAGAGAATGAGTTATTGTAATTGTGAACATAAGGAAAATTACACCTTCATTTAATTTTTAAAAATGTATTTGTTTGTCTGTTTATGGGAGTTAAAATATGGGCCGTCTCTCCCTCATGTACTAGTGCCCATTATTTGTTAAAAGGATGCTATTGAAGTCTGGGCGAGGTGGCTTTCACCTGTAATCCCAGCACTTTGGGAGGGCGAGGTGGGCGGATCACTTGAAGTCAGGAGTTCAAAAACCTAGCCTGGCCAACATGATGAAACTCCGTCTCCACTAAAAATACAAAAAAAATAGCCTGGCAAGCTGGTGGGCGCCTGTAATCCCAGCTTCTAGGGAGGCTGAGGCAGGAGAATCGCTTGAACCTGGGAGGTGGAGGTTGCAGGGAGCGGAGGTTACGCCACTGCCCTCCAGCCTGGGTGACAAAGCGAGATTCCATCTCAAAAAATAAATAAATAAATAAAAGGATGCTATTGAAGTAGCAAACATTAAGAAGTGATAGACTTCAGCTTTTAAAATAAATTCCTAACTTAAGTCAGGAGACTGAATTTTCATTCCTTTTGAACAATGACAATTAAGACTTTGTCTGTTTTACAAATAGTGAAATTTCACCCTTTAAATTTGTCAATATAATCACAAAAAAAATATCAATTTTCATGCATGAATGCTCAAATTGAAAAGCTAGTGCTTTAGCGTGGACTTATTGCAGTTTAGGGGTGGAAAGAATATGTATAGAAATAAATTTTATGCATGATGTGTGCTGATAGGAAAATTTCAATTAACGTTAATAGAGCCTTTTCTTATTTCATACAAACAGTTTCAGCTGGGTATTTTTGTTTATTTTTTTTTTCCCCAAAGAAATTGCCTTTAGTGAATTTTTATTGCCATTTTATTTTGGGTCCTATGTGTCTATGTGCAGAAACCCTCAACTTATTACAGATATGTTAGAGTCAAAAACTAATCCTAAATCTATCAACCCAAAGTGTATTTCTCATTACCATCTGTTGGTAGCAGGCTAAATCTTTTTGCGATGATTTTAACTGTATTCTAATCAATGAAAATTCATTCTTTTGAAGTTTTTATATAAAGGGGTTTCTATGTTTTATGTCTCTTGTAAAAAGATCTGGTGTTGAAAACTAAAAGGCAAATATGCTTCTCTTGGGTATATAAAGATCCTCTGGTGACACTTGGTGATGCTTACACATAGGTAGCATAGGCTTCTGAACATGAGCTTGGGAATCAGAAGGATGTAGGTTTGAATTCTCTCTGTCTCTTGTTTGACTCTGGGCAGGTTGTTCAGTCTTCAATCTTGATTTCCTCAGACTATAAAATGGAAAAAATAACTCCAACCTCACAAGACTATTGTTTTCTTTTAATGAGAAAATGTATGTAATAGGCACAATACAGTAACAACCTAATAAATTTGCACCAACCCTACAAGGACCATTTTTATCCATGTTTTCTAAATGAAGGCCCTTTTAAAGTACTTCAGTTCATATAACTTATTCCAAAATTGCCCAGATGTTAGCACCTCTAGATACAAGCATCATTTGTAGTTTGTATTACAAGTTAAACATGATTTATTTGTACTCTAAAAATTGTATCTACTCTTCAACCATGAAATCAAATGATTTGTTTTTATAAGGGTCTTCTTTTTTTTCAGTCTTTTTATCATTCTTTTTTTTTTTTTTTCTTATTACTTCCATAAGTTTTTGAGGAACAGGTGGTATTTGTTTACATGAGTAAGTTTTTTAGTGGTCATTTGTGAGATTTTGGTACACCCTTCACCCAAGCAGTATACACTGAACCCAATTTGTAGTCTTTTATCCCTCATCCCCTCCCACACTTTCCTCCAAGTCCCCAAAGTCCACTGTATCATTCTTATGCCTTTGCTTTCTCATAGCTTAGCTCCGACTTGTGAGAACGTATGTTTCCCATTCCCGAGTTACTTCACTTAGAATAATAGTCTCCAAGTCCATCCATGTTGCTAAGAATGCCATTAATTCATTCTTTTTTTTATGCCTGAGTAGTGTTCCATTCTATATATTTATATCACAGTTTTTTTTTTAATCCACTCATTGATTGATGGGCATTTGAGCTATTTCCATACTTTGCAATTGTGAATTGTGCTGCTATAAACATATGTGTGCAAGTATCTTTTTTGTGTAATGACCTCTTTTCCTCTGGGTAGGTATCCAGTAGTGGAATTGCAGGGTCAAATGGTAGTTCTACCTTTAGTTCTTTAAGGAATCTCTACACTGGTTTCCATAGTGGCTGTACTAGTTTTAAAGTCTGAAATGGTAACCTTGGAGGAAGAATATGAAAAAA